AGGTTAGGTAGGTTAGGTAGACGAAAAAACATTAATTCATGAAAACTTGGCTTATTAGGCAAATCGGGCCTTGAATAGTAGGCTGAGAAGTGCGTTCTGGCTATTAGGTACGACATATATATATATATATATATATATATATATATATATATATATATATATATATATATATATATATATATATATATATGTCGTACCTAATAGCCAGAACGCACTTCTCAGCCTACTATGCAAGGCCCGATTTGCCTAATAAGCCAAGTTTTCATGAATTGTTTTTCGACTACCTAACCTAACCTAACTTTTTCGGCTACCTAACCTAACCTAAGCTATAAAGATAGGTTAGGTTAGGTAGGGTTGGTTAGGTTCGGTCATATATCTACGTTAATTTTAACTGCAATAAAAAAAAATTGACTTGATACATAATGAAATGGGTAGCTTTATCATTTCATAAGAAAAAAATAGAGAAATTATATTAATTCAGTAAAACTTGGCTTATTAGGCAAATCTGGCCTTGCATAGTAGGCTGAGAAGTGCGTTCTGGCTACTAGGTACGACATATATATATATATATATATATATATATATATATATATATATATATATATATATATATGAGTGAGGTGGGAAGGGTGATGTGGCATTACATTTGAGTGAGGTGGGAAGGATGATGTGGCATTAGAGAATATTAATAGGGTATTAAAAGTATCAACACAAGACAGAACACGAAACAATGGATATTGAATAGAAGTGTTTGTAGAAAGCCTTCTATTCAATATCCATTGTTTCGTGTTCTGTCTTGTGTTGATACTTTTAATACCCTATTAATATTCTCTAATGCCACATCATCCTTCCCACCTCACTCATATATATATATATATATATATATATATATATATATATATATATATTAGTATATTTTGGTAGCAGTCTTTCCTGTAGACATATATTATTAAATATGACCGAAAAAGTAAGATTAATAATTCTAACACGAATTTTCTCAATCTTTCGTACATTTCTTTTCACTGTTGGTGGTAATTCAAAAATCAATTCTCCAAAATTCATTTTTATTTCTAGTCTGACGCGACACTTGAGCGCGCTTTGTAAAACTTATTACATTTTCAAAGACTTTAGTTTACACATACACAACTGAATAGAACTTACACATCTCCGATTTGTTTATATCTACATTTGAGTGAGGTGGATAGGGTGAGGTGGTATTAATAGGGTATTAAATTCATCAACACAAGACAGAACACGAAACAATGGGTATTGAATAGAAGTGATTGTAGAAAGCCTATTGGTCCATATTTCTTGATGCTTCTATGTTGGTGCGGAGTCTTGAAGTGGGTAGAATATAGTTGTGCATTAATTGGCTGTTGATTGCTGGTGTTGACTTCTTAATGTGTAGTGCCTCGCAAACGTCAAGTCGCCTGCTATCGCTGTATCTATCGATGATTTCTGTGTTGTTTACTAGGATTTCTCTGGCGATGGTTTGGTTGTGGGAAGAGATTATATGTTCCTTAATGGAGCCCTGTTGCTTATGCATCGTTAAACGCCTAAAAAGAGATGTTGTTGTCTTGCCTATATACTGGGTTTTTTTTGGAGCTTACAGTCCCCAAGAGGGCATTTGAAGGCATAGACGACGTTGGTCTCTTTTAAAGCGTTCTGCTTTGTGTCTGGAGAGTTTCTCATGAGTAGGCTGGCCGTTTTTCTGGTTTTATAGTAAATCGTCAGTTGTATCCTCTGATTTTTGTCTGTAGGGATAACGTTTCTATTAACAATATCTTTCAGGACCCTTTCCTCCGTTTTATGAGCTGTGGAAAAGAAGTTCCTGTAAAATATTCTAATAGGGGGTACAGGTGTTGTGTTAGTTGTCTCTTCAGAGGTTGCATAGCGTTTCACCTTCCTTCTTATGATGTCTTCAACGAAACCATTGGAGAAGCCGTTGTTTCGGCTACTACTTTCTCACATAGGTGAGAAAGTAGTCACCACCACCCTCTTCACCTTTGTCCCTCCGCCACACACACACACACACAGACACACACACACACACACACACACACACACACACACACACACACACACACACACACACACACACACACACACACACAAACGAACTGAACAAAAGGGCGTGGAGGAACTTCCGGAATAACAGAACACCAGAAAGTAGAGAGAGAGATACCAGAGAACCAGGAATGAGTATGTTAGTGTGAAAAGAGAAGCAGAGAAAAATTATGAAAATGATATAGCAAGCAAAGCCAAGAGAGACACGAGAGAGACGTGATGATGGAGACAACACGCATCAGAGGAGACACTCCCTCCCCTTTCATCCAATACCCTCTCTGTCCCCGCCCCCCCCTTCACTTTCCACCCCCTCCCACACCCCTCACTCCAGTATCTTCTGAGACCTCGTTACTCACCCCACAAATCCTTACGCCCATGGAATAGCTTCCCCCATCAGCAGAACGCTCACCAAGAAGGAAACATGAGAAGGGACAGAAGAAAGTGAGTCTCAAGGCAATGTACACTAACATAGATGGGATTACAAGTAACACAAATGAACTTGGAGAATGGGTACTTGAAGAGAAACCAGACATAATAGCACTGACAGAAACAAAGCTAACGAAAATCATAACAAATGCAGTGTTTCCACAGGACTACTGTGTTGTGAGGAAAGAGAGAGAAGGAAGATGTGGTGGCCTGTTAAGGTTTCAGAGACTACATAACAGGTACCATAGCAACTGGAGGACAAAACATTATAGTCACAGTCATATATAACCCACCACCAAATGACAGAAGACCCAGACAGAAATATGATAGAAACACCATGGCCTCCATTAACATAATAGAGAGAGCAGCTTCTCTCGCTAGCAGGAATGGATCTGTAATACTAATCATGGGGGACTTTAACCACGGGAAGATAGCTTGGGAGAACAGAGACCCACATGGAGGACCAGATACATGGAAAGCTAAGCTGCTGGACGTGGCAACAAGAAACTTTCTAAGCCAACACATCAGGGACCGGCAAGAATGAGAGGGGAAGATGAACCAACCATGCTTGATCTGGTATTTAACCTAAATGTGTGGGGTATAAGGGAAGTTAAGTTGGAAGCAGGCTTGGGAATTAGTGATCACAGTGTATTGATCCTTGAGTACTTGGTAGAGCTAGGACTTATCTCCCCAAAAAAAGAACTAGGAAACAAAAGGCTGGCATACCGAAAGGGAAATTATGAAAGGATGAGAAGTTTCCTAAGGGGTATACCATGTGACACAGTCCTCAGAGCTAAATCTGTACAAGACTTGTTGGCCTATGTCACAGGTATGTCAGGAGGCAGTAAATAGGTTTATCCCGGCCCAAAAGGAAAAATCCGAGAAGCAAAAAAAGAATTCATGGTTTAATAGGGCATGTATGGAAGGAAAGGAGCTAAACAAAAGAGCCTGGAGAAACTTCTGAAATAACAGAACACCAGAAAGCAGAGAGAGATACCAGAGGACCAGTAATGAGTATGTTAGTGTGAGAAGAGAAGCAGAGAAAAATTATGAAAATGATCTAGCAAGCAAAGCCAAGACCGAACCAAAGCTACTCCACAGTCACATCAGGAGAAAAAACAACGGTCAAAGAACAGGTAATTATATATACCTGTATATCTGTCCTCGCCTGTCCGTAGAACAGGCGAGGACAGGTATACAAAGAATGACAAAGAGGTGTGTGAAGAACTCAACATGAGGTTCTAGGTCTTCACAAGAGAACAAGGTGTGGTCACTGCGCTAGGAGAGGGGTAGTAATCCAGGCGGCCTTGGAAGGGTTCGAAATTACGAGAGATGAAGTCAAGAGACACCTGTTGGATCTGGATGTGAGAAAGGCTGTTGGTCCAGACGGGATCTCACCATGGGTACTGAAAGAGTGTGCAGAGGTACTCTCTTTGCCACTCTCCATAGTGTATAGTAGGTCACTGGAGACGGGAGACCTACCAGAAATATGGAAGACGGCTAATGAGGACCCAATATACAAAAAGGGTGACAGTCCTATGAGGAAAGGCTGAAGGAGCTGAACCTCACGTCTTTGGAAATCAGAAGAGTAGGGGGAAACATGATAACCACCTACAAAATTCTTAGGGGAATTGACAGGGTGGATAAAGACAAACTCTTCAGTACGGTTGGAACACGAACAAGGGGACACAGGTGGAAACGTAGTACCCAAATGACCCAAAGAGACATTAGAAAGATTTTTTTTAGTGTCAGAGTACTAAGTAAATGAATGCACTAGGAAGTGATGTGGTGGAGGCTGACTCCATACACAGTTTCAAATGTAGATATGATAGAGCCCAGTAGGCTCAGGAATCTGTACTCCAGTTGATTGACTGTTGAGAGGCGGGGCCAAAGAGACACAAAGCTCAACCCCCGCAAGCACACATTGGGGAGTACAAATAGGTGAGCACACACACACACACACACACACACACACACACACACACACACACACACACACACACACACACACACACACACACACACACACACACACACACACAGGAAGCAGCCCGTAACAGATGTCTATCTCCCAGGTACCTTTTTACTGCTAGGTAAAATGACCATCAGGGTGAAAGAAACTCTGCCATTTATTTTCCACCATCGGCGGGGATCGAACCCCAGTCCCCTGAGTGCTGTCCACTCAGCCACCAGTCGCCCTGAATCCACCTTGTGTGTCTGTGTGTTAGTGTGAATGTGACTATCAGTGAATTTTATGAATTTGACCGTAAAGGATTAGATCAATGATTCAAGCACGAATCTTCTTTATATTTATTCTCTTTTTCTTCACTTGGGAATGAAGTTAAATATTAACTATCCAGCGTTAATCTTACAATTTGGCCTTGCGTTAAAAGATGTGTCGTTTAGTCACACAACATCTTTGAAGACAGAGAGTAATATTTTGCATTCATTCCTTATATTTGGAGTTCGTTTTTCCACAAAAATCTAATTATAAGTGTTATTTTCAGATTGACGAGAATGATTTGAAGAGAACCAGTACTTGGCTTCAGTCACAACAGAGGGAAGACGGTTGCTTCAACAGCGTTGGTAAGGTGTTCCACAAGGCCATGAAGGTGAGGATCTTCTTGACAAACACAATACTAATTATGTTAATGAAACACAAAATTTATTGTCAATATAAATACAAATATGAATGATAAGCTTGCGGCATAACGCCTTATTTATGAGTGTGGGCTGGTACTGTATTATTGTTCCATGAGTGTGGGCTGGTACTGTATTATTGTTCCATGAGTGTGGGCTGGTACTGTATTATTGTTCCATGAGTGTGGGCTGGTACTGTATTATTGTTCCATGTGTGTGGGCTGGTACTGTATTATTGTTCCATGAGTGTGGGCTGGTACTGTATTATTGTTCCATGAGTGTGCGCTGGTACTGTATTATTGTTCCATGAGTGTGGGCTGGTACTGTATTATTGTTCCATGAGTGTGCGCTGGTACTGTATTATTGTTCCATGAGTGTGGGCTGGTACTGTATTATTGTTCCATGTGTGTGGGCTGGTACTGTATTATTGTTCCATGAGTGTGGGCTGGTACTGTATTATTGTTCCATGAGTGTGGGCTGGTACTGTATTATTGTTCCATGAGTGTGGGCTGGTACTGTATTATTGTTCCATGTGTGTGGGCTGGTACTGTATTATTGTTCCATGAGTGTGGGCTGGTACTGTATTATTGTTCCATGTGTGTGGGCTGGTACTGTATTATTGTTCCATGTGTGTGGGCTGGTACTGTATTATTGTTCCATGCGTGTGGGCTGGTACTGTATTATTGTTCCATGTGTGTGGGCTGGTACTGTATTATTGTTCCATGTGTGTGGGCTGGTACTGTATTATTGTTCCATGCGTGTGGGCTGGTACTGTATTATTGTTCCATGTGTGTGGGCTGGTACTGTATTATTGTTCCATGCGTGTGGGCTGGTACTGTATTATTGTTCCATGTGTGTGGGCTGGTGCTGTATTATTGTTCCATGCGTGTGGGCTGGTACTGTATTATTGTTCCATGCGTGTGGGCTGGTACTGTATTATTGTTCCATGCGTGTGGGCTGGTACTGTGTGGTCACTTACTGTATTATTGTTCCATGTGGCAATACCTCCCCAGCAGGTGGTATGTGCAAAATGGCGGCGGCACGTGGTCGGTCGGTGCACAGATAGCAACACGTACCTGTACATTCAGGAATTAGGACGCAAGACTCTCATATCCTATTGACAACTTCTCTCTGAGCTAATGGTAAATTGGCCGCCAGAGAATAGAATCCCCACCTGAGAAGACGCACAAAACATGACTATAAAGGTGCGATGATCTTCAACACGGGTCATTACTGGCCATATAGAACAATTATGAGGTAACTGGGCCTCACCCCACTTCAGGAGAGTTGGATATACAGGGACATAATAACGACATTATATCAAAGTCAATTGACCAAGCAGAAAATAAGAGTTCAAGCTGTGAATGATAGCCTCGTAAATCAGTGATGTTAGAAAACCTCTTCAGTGACATAGATGTAAGTGGAATGAGTGTGACGAAAAAGTGGTTGAAACTAACTCGATATATTATTTAAATTAAATATAATACGAGAACTGAGAGGAATTAATTGCATCAAATTGAAGATTTTTAGGAAGGCTGAGCTAAGTGCTAATCCTCAGCCTCGCAAACTGATCTTAGGGATTCTCACTCACTCATCTGAACGAATGAATGAATGAAACTAATGAAGGACTCTTTGTCTATACACGGAGGCTCCTATTTATATCAACCTAAACACATTCATATGTATGTTTAACCTAAGTTTGAAACAATCAACCGACCACTCGTCTATTATGTAATATGGTAAAATGTTCCATATATCATAACCGTATTCCAAACGCAGTATTTACCCAGGTCTTTCCTGACCTTAAACTGGTGCAGTTTGTATACACTGCTCGTGTTCTGTTATGTGTGTATATGTCTAAACAATGCCAATAAGATATGGCACTTTTCACAGGGTGGAATTGAGGGAAGCGACTCTCCTGTACCTCTGACAGCCTACGTGATGATCGCCCTCCTGGAGGCCAGTGACGAGTCCTGTACTGCCTCGTCATGTCTGGCAGCCCAGTGCCTGAGGGCGGACACCTCCCACGACCCCTACGTTATGGCGCTCAAGGCCTACGCTTTTGCCCTAGCAATGTTACCTGAGGCCGAGGCAGTTCTCCAGAAGCTGCTCGCACAAGCCGTTGTGACCAAGAACTCGACCTACTGGGTGCTGCCCAAGGGACCAGGTATTGCTTGGTTAAGGGATATCTTGAGGTTATCTTGAGATGATTTCGGGGCTTAACGTCCCCGCGGCCCGGTCCTCGACCAGGCCTCCTTTTTTGTTACATACCCCCAGGAAGCAGCCCGTAGTAGCTGTCTAACTCCCAGGTACCTATTTACTGCAAGGTGAACAGGCACATCAGGGTGAAAGAAACTCTGCCCATTTGTTTCCGCCTTGTTTTTTACATGGGATACAGTGAGTTACTGTGAAATCTGATGATCAGGATGAGATGAGCCTGTTAACAGGTGCCACTTGTTGCTCTTCGTAGAGATCTCCCGCCCATTCACTTCCAGTTTCTATTACATAATGTGGTAATACAAGAAGAGTCTCCCTCAGGTCTGACATCTCAACTTGCCCGCCTGAAAATAAATTTGTCATTAAATCAAACCCGTAAACAGTAAAATATTATGCCACTTTCGCCTTACAAACTGAACTTTTTAACTTAATCAAACTACTATGAACCAGAGGCTTCTAGTATGTCCTGTGTAAGTGTTAAGATTTTGGGCATGATCCCTCATGCAGTCATGGGCGTGTTACAGTGGACTACAGGTATGGAGGAGTTACAGTGGACTACAGGTATGGAGGAGTTACAGTGGACTACAGGTATGGAGGCGTTACAGTGGACTACAGGTATGGAGGAGTTACAGTGGACTACAGGTATGGAGGTGTTACAGTGGACTACAGGTATGGAGGTGTTACAGTGGACTACAGGTATGGAGGAGTTACAGTGGACTACAGGTATGGAGGCGTTACAGTGGACTACAGGTATGGAGGAGTTACAGTGGACTACAGGTATGGAGGAGTTACAGTGGACTACAGGTATGGAGGTGTTACAGTGGACTACAGGTATGGAGGAGTTACAGTGGACTACAGGTATGGAGGTGTTACAGTGGACTACAGGTATGGAGGAGTTACAGTGGACTACAGGTATGGAGGCGTTACAGTGGACTACAGGTATGGAGGAGTTACAGTGGACTACAGGTATGGAGGTGTTACAGTGGACTACAGGTATGGAGGAGTTACAGTGGACTACAGGTATGGAGGTGTTACAGTGGACTACAGGTATGGAGGAGTTACAGTGGACTACAGGTATGGAGGCGTTACAGTGGACTACAGGTATGGAGGAGTTACAGTGGACTACAGGTATGGAGGTGTTACAATGGACTACAGGTATGGAGGAGTTACAGTGGACTACAGGTATGGAGGTGTTACAGTGGACTACAGGTATGGAGGTGTTACAGTGGACTACAGGTATGGAGGAGTTACAGTGGACTACAGGTATGGAGGTGTTACAGTGGACTACAGGTATGGAGGTGTTACAGTGGACTACAGGTATGGAGGCGTTACAGTGGACTACAGGTATGGAGGTGTTACAGTGGACTACAGGTATGGAGGTGTTACAGTGGACTACAGGTATGGAGGAGTTTCAGTGGACTACAGGTATGGAGGTGTTACAGTGGACTACAGGTATGGAGGAGTTACAGTGGACTACAGGTATGGAGGTGTTACAGTGGACTGCTACAGTATACACGTGGTGGACTGGTTATTAATGTGTTAGTTGCCCACTAGGTTGACAAATATTTAATTAATCCCATTAAATAATTGGAATTTTCGTTCTATTCATTTATGTATTATATAACATATGTCCCAGGATAAATCATTATTAAAAATAAGAGTCATTAACAATTAAAAATAAAAAGAACGAAGAGATAAAAGTTATGTCATCCTTCTGTTTTCATCATCAATCATCAAGCAGCACGATCATTATAGTTCCCAATTTGTTAGCTTCATTAGCTTTTTTATGGTTTAAATACGCTTGTTTACATTAGCACTGAAAACAAAATAACACAAGTAATAAGATAACTGTTGTTGAATACCCAGGCAAAACTGAAGCCGTAGCGGTGGAGACAGCTGGCTACGCTCTCATGGCCATGATGACACTCCAGCCTAAACTATACCAGCAGCAGGCAAACAAGGTGGTCAAGTGGATCACGGCACAGCGGAACGGTCAAGGTGGCTTCCACTCCACACAGGTAGCACCTTCACTCAGTCACCCCCATGTCTCACCTACTCCACACAGGTAGCACCTTCACTCAGTCACCCCACATGTCTCACCTACTCCACACAGGTAGCACCTTCACTCAGTCACCCCACATGTCTCACCTACTCCACACAGGTAGCACCTTCACTCAGTCACCCCACATGTCTCACCTACTCCACACAGGTAGCACCTTCACTCAGTCACCCCACATGTCTCACCTACTCCACACAGGTAGCACCTTCACTCAGTCACCCCACATGTCTCACCTACTCCACACAGGTAGCACCTTCACTCAGTCACCCACATGTCTCACCTACTCCACACAGGTAGCACCTTCACTCAGTCACCCACATGTCTCACCTACTCCACACAGGTAGCACCTTCACTCAGTCACCCCACATGTCTCACCTACTCCACACAGGTAGCACCTTCACTCAGTCAGCCACATCCCCTGCCAAGACACAACATAACCGTATTATAATAATAATATCACTTTAATAATGGGTAAGGGTACCACCTCTGGTGCAAATGTAGGGACCCACAGCCTCAAAGAAGAAAATAAAGAGTAATCAGAGATAACCTTGTGGGTTCTCACTAAACACTTTAAACTTTTCTTCTCCTACCACCCAAATGCATTTTAAATTTATTTTGTTTTATTTTATTTTATTTTGTTTTGTTGCATTGCTACTGTTTACAGAGAACACACACACCATAATATATTCTCTATGAAGATTCCAATATTCATACTTTGTATTTATTTACACAAGTAAATCTTCCATACTTTCAGATTTTCCATATTTCAGCTTATTAACTGATGTACTTCCGTCTTACATGCAAACACCTTTTCTATTTTACACCCTTCTCACGCCAGCACTACTTATAATATTCTCTTAACACTTTTCATCACTTCTACCCACTATGTATTCTTTACATATTTAATTCATACAAACCTGACGGTTTTATCCAGTAAAAACAGAAGCTGGGATTGCATAAGAGGACAATAGTTTTCCCTCGCGAGGAGAGCTTTGGGAAGAGGGTCCCAGGATCATTTTCTATCCTCTACCCTTTATCTCAGGGAATGTGGCGCTGTTCATACCGGTGATGGGCACCACATTCCTGCACACGCTCACATAATTGTTCCTTAGTCTTGGTCGGGTCCGTTTTCCTTACTTATTTTATGTTCTAAATCAAGCTGTGCTTAGAAATCATAATTAAAGAGAGTGTCTGCATAATAAATATAAATATAACCCTTGGAAATTAAGTAAGTATAATTGCTTGCAATCTGGAAGAGAATTTCTCGAGTGACAACTATGGGTAAGATAGTATGGGAAACACAAGTACTTTGAGAAGGAGCAAAAGGAGCGCAGTGTGAAATGCAAGGAGTAATTTTATAACAGATTATAACAGATTTTAACTAAATTTTTATTGTGAATCTAAAACTAACACAATAAAGTTAATTTTAAAGTTCATTAAGACAATGCATTAACGTTCATCGAGCATCAGGAATGTTATGGAAAACTAATTTTTGGGTAAATGTTTGGACTAACATGTTTTCTCTTCGGTGGCACTCAGGACACGGTGGTGGCACTGCAGGCTCTGGCCCTGTATGAGACCCACTTTTACCAGGGAGCCTTGAAGGTGGTGGCAACAGTGACAGCCACCGGCCTGACCCATCCCTTCACTGTCACGGACGACAACAAGCTCCTGCAGCAGCTGGTGAAGCTGCCCACGCTCCCCACACCTGTCTCTGTCACCATGGACGGTCAGGGGTGCGCCGTACTGCAGGTGAGATTATATTGTCTGCCAGCGTCTTTGTCTTTGTCAACGTGAATGTGTTTCTCTGTGTCTGTCTGAGACTGTCAGTGTTTGCTTGTGACTGAGAGTTTCTGACTGTGACTGTGTGTTTCTGACTGTAACTTTGACATACAGACATAAACAGTCTTTGACTGTGTCTGTCTGTATGTGACTGTTAGTATTTGTGTTTGACTGTGTATGTCTGTATGTAACTGTTTGTATTTGTCTGAGACTCTGTCTGTCTGTCTGTGATTGTATTCACCTAGTTATGCTTGCGAGGTTGAGCTCTGCTCTTTCGGCCCGCCTCTCAACTGTCAATCAATCAACTGTTACTAACAACTAACTAATTCCTCCCCCCCCCCCACACACACCCAGGAAGCAGCCCGTAACAGCAATCTAATTCCTAGGTACCTATTTACTACTAGGTAACAAGGGCATCAGGGTAAAAGAAACTCATTTTGTTTCTGCTATCATCGGGCATCGAACCCGGGTCCAAGAATTACAAGTCCAGAGCGCTGTCTACTCAGCTATCAGCCCTCCTATGTGTGTTTGTTTTTGACTGTTTGTATGTGACTATGTGTTTGTTTGTGACTGTGTGTGTGTGTCTGTTTTTCTGCTTGTGACTGTGTGACTGTGACCTCTAACACCTGTACCGTTCTTTGTGGACGATGAACCTTAAGACCGTTGTTACGTTAGTGAGAGAGACTTGGTCCAGAGATACAAACATCTTTCCTGAGTTATCAGTCGGTGGAATGACGTTTGGACGAGGGTGTAGCTAACATCTCTGTGTGAGTATCGCTCTGACGATAACGCCCCTGAAATAAAAATTATCGTACACCCTAGCGATATTGTCATAGTGGACAGCGATGGTCCACGCTCAGAGTGGCCCATTGACAGTATTGTTACTCTCCATACAGACAGCCAGGAAGTGCTGAGGAGAGTAAAGGTGCTGTGCAAAGGCACCACTACCTTGAAAACAATAGATAACTATTGTGGAGTTATGTGTTGCTGTGGATGGCCTTGGTTGTAGGGTTGATATAAAGCCATTGGTTGGTTACTGACTTTAATACTTATAATAATACATGACTATCACCTTCCAAGCTTGGCGGGCATCCTGCACGCTCTCTCTTGTTTAAAGGCGCTGCTGGCTGAGTGGACAGCATGCTGGATATGTAATCCTGTGAACCGGGTTTCGATTCCCGGCGCCGGCGGAAACAGATGGGCAGAGTTTTTTTCACTCTGATGCCCCTGTTACCTAACAGCAAATAGGTACCTGGGAGTTAGACAGCTGTTATGGGCTGCTTCCTGGGGAAAGTGAGTGTGTGTGGGGGGGGGATTGTGTGTGTGTGTGTGTGTACTCACCTAGTTGTGCTTGCGGGGGTTGAGCTTTAGCTCTTTGGTCCCGCCTCTCAACCATCAGTCAACAGATGTACAGGTTCCTGAGCCTATTGGGCTCTATCATATCTACACTTGAAACTGTGTATGGAGTCAGCCTCCACCACATCACTCCCTAATGCATTCCATTTGTCAACCACTCTGACACTAAAAAAGTTCTTTCTAATATCTCTGTGGCTCATTTGGGCACTCAGTTTCCACCTGTGTCCCCTAGTGCGTGTGCCCCGTGTGTTAAATAGCCTGTCTTTATCTACCCTATCAATTCCCTTGAGAATCTTGAATGTGGTGATCATGCCCCCCCCCCCTAACTCTTCTGCCTTCCAGCGAAGTGAGGTTTAATTCCCGTAGTCTCTCCTCGTAGCTCATACCTCTCAGCTCGGGTACTAGTCTGGTGGCAAACCTTTGAACCTTTTCCAGTTTAGTCTTATCCTTGACTAGATATGGACTCCATGCTGGGGCTGCAGACTCCAGGATTGGCCTAACATATGTGGTATACAAAGTTTTGAATGATTCCTTACACAAGTTTCTGAATGCCGTTCGTATGTTGGCCAGCCTGGCATATGCCGCTGATGTTGTTCTCTTGATATGTGCTGCAGGAGACAGGTCTGGCGTGATCAACCCCCAAGTCTTTTTCTTTCTCTGACTCGTGAAGTATTTCATCTCCCAGATGGTACCTTGTATCTGGCCTCCTGCTCCCTACACCTATCTTCATTACATTACATTTGCTTGGGTTAAACTCTAACAACTATTTGTTTGACCATTCCTTCAGCTTGTCTAGGTCTTCTTGAAGCCTCAAGCAGTCCTCCTCTGTCTTAATCCTTCTCATAATTTTGGGATCGTCCGCAAACATTAAGAGAAATGAATCTATACCCTCCGGGAGATCATTTACATATATCAGAAACAAGATAGGACCGAGTACAGAGCCCTGTGGGACTCCACTGGTGAATTCACGCCAATCGGAGGTCTCATCTCTCACCGTAACTCTCTGCTCATGTACTCCCTTATCCACTGGAGCACCTTCCCAGCTACACCTGCCTGTCTCTCCAGCTTATGTACCAGCCTCTTATGCGGTACTGTGTCAATGGCTTTCCGACAATCCAAGAAAATGTGTGTGTGTGTGTGTGTGTGTGTGTGTGTGTGTGTGTGTGTGTGTGTGTGTGTGTGTGTGTGTGTGTGTGTGTGTGTGTGTGTGTACACTCACCTAGTTGTACTCACCTAGTTGTGTTTGCGGGGGTTGAGCTCTGGCTCTTTGGTCCTGCCTCTCAACCGTCAATCAACTGATGTACAGATTCCTGAGCCTACTGGGCTCTGTCATATCTACATTTGAAACTGTGTATGGAGTCAGCCTCCACCACATCACTTCCTAGTGCATTCCATTTACTAACTACTCTGACACTGAAAAAGTTCTTTCTAATGTCTCTGTGGTCCATTTGGGTACTCAGCTTCCACCTGTGTCCCCTTGTTCGCGTCCCTCCAGTGTTGAATAGTTCATCCTTGTTTACCCGGTCGATTCCCCTGAGGATTTTGTAGGTTGTGATCATGTCCCCCCTTACTCTTCTTTCTTCCAGTGTCGTAAGGTGCATTTCCCGCAGCCTTTCCTCATAACTCATGCCTCTTAGTTCTGGGACTATAGTAGCATACCTTGTGTGTGTGTGTGTGTGTGTGTGTGTGTGTGTGTGTGTGTGTGTGTGTGTGTGTGTGTGTGTGTGTGTGTGTGTGTGTCCGTGTGTGTCCGCCATCCATGTATTTAAAAGCAATTCTGAAGTTAGAAAGCGTGGCATAGGCTCCTCGCACAACGTTCTTTATGTGGTCCTCAGATGATAGTTTTTTATCTAGAACCACCCCTAGATCTTTTTCTTTATCAGAATTCTTTAAAGATTTCTCACATAATATATAGGTTGTGTGGGGTCTATGTTCTCCTATTCCACATTCCATAACATGGCATTTATAAACATTAGATTCCATTTGCCAAGTAGTGCTCCATATACTTATTTTGTCCAGGTCATCTTGAAGGGCATGACAATCATCTAAGTTTCTTATCCTTCCTATTATCTTAGCATCATCAGTAAACATGTTCATATAACTCTGTATATCAACTGGTAGATCATTTATGTACACAATAAACATCACTGGTGCAAGAACTGAACCCTGTGGTACTCCACTTGTGACATTTCTCCAGTCCGATACATTGCCTCTGATTACTGCCCTCATTTTTCTATCAGTCAGAAAATTTTTCATCCATGTTGGAAGCTTACCTGTCACCCCTCCAATATTTTCTAGTTTCCAGATCAACCTCTTATGTGGAACTCTGTCGAAAGCCTTTTTTAGGTCTAGATAGATGCAGTCAACCACATCCATCTCTTTCCTGTAAAATCTCTGTGGCTCGATCATAGAAACTGAGTAAATTCGATACACAGGATCTTCCAGATCGAAAACCATACTGTCTGTTTGATATTATATAATTTCTCTCCAGGTGTTCTACCCATTTAGTTTTTATTAGTTTTTCCAATACTTTCACTATTACACTTATCAATGATTTAGGTATATAATTGAGGGGGTCTTCCCTGCTGTCACTTTTGTAGATTGCAACTATATTAGCCTGTTTCCACACATCTGCTACGACTCCTGTACACAGGGATGCCTGAAAGATCAGGTGAAGTGGAATGCTGAGCTCAGATGCACATTCTCTCAGAACCCATGGTGAAACTCCATATGGACCAACTGCTTTGTTCTTACTGAGCTCCTTTAAAAAAAATCTAATTCAAATGTTTATTTAGGTAAAGTACATACATACAAGGGGTGATACAGATATTGATGAATTTATAGATAGAGCTCGTACATACAATGCCTAAAGCCACTATTATGCAAAGCGTTTCAGGCAGAAACGCTTTGCGTAAACGTTAGCATATTTTTCACTTCATCTTTAGACACCTCTATACGCTCTATGTTGTTCTCTGGAATTCTTCTTGTATCTGGTTCTCTGAAGACTTCATTTTGTACAAACACACTTTGGAACTTTTCATTTAATGTTTCACACATTTCATTTTCATTTTCCGTGAATCTGTTTCCCGTTTTCAACCTCTGGATATTATCCTTTACCTGCAATTTGTTGTTAATGAATTTGTAGAATAGGCCCGGTTCTGTTTTACATTTATCCGCTATCCCCTTTTCAAAATTTCTTTCTGCCTCTCTCCTTATTGCTGTATAGTGTTTTCTCGCTTCTTTGTATCGCTGGTATGTTTGGGGGTTTGGCCTCTTCCTATACTGATTCCATTTTTGTGTCTTTTGGCCTCTGGCCCTCTCGCAATTTCTGTTGAACCAATCCTGTTTTCTGGCCCTGCATCTCTGTTTTGGTATGAATGTTCGTGTGCCTTCATCGTATATTTTGCAAAATTTGGCATACATTTCATTTACTTCCTTATCTAGCAACAAGTCTGTCCAATTGCACTCATTAAAAAAAATTCATAGTTCCCAATTGTGACCTCTCCTTAAATCGAGTTTATCATCTGTTTCAATGTCCCCATTTTCTTCTAGATGGAATTTTAAAGCATATTTAATGTCTAACAGGACGTGATCACTCGTGTGTGTGTGTGTGT